AGAATCGAACCCGGGACCCTTCAGTCTGTAGGCCGCCGCTCTATGCACTGAGCCAAACCAGCTAGGTCTAAAGTTTTTTAATTTTAATACAAAGGTACATTTGCTAAATCTTCAATTAAAATAGGTCTGATTCCACATGTTCTTTTAAATAGAAGCTCAAGTCTTGATAGTTTAATAATTTTGATTTGCTTTATGGGTGTTTTTTTTTAATTGATTTCAGAGAGGAAGAGAGAGGTAGAAACATCAATGATGAGAGAGAATCATTGATCCGCTGCCTCTTGCATGCCCCACCTTGGGGATGGAACCTGCAACCTAGGCATGTGCCCTGACCTGGAATTGAACCGTGACCTCCTAGTTTATAGATTGACGCTCAACCACTGAGCCATGCTGGCTAAGCTGCTTTGTGTTTTAAAGATAGTTTTGATTTTATAAAATTTTGCTAGTTAGGCTTGCTTCTTACTTTGAATTAAGGATATTGCTTAATAAAGAAGTTTAATTTGTAAAAATAAAAGTGATTATAAAAAGTTGGTTTTTAGAGATAAGAATACAAATTCAGAAAACAGTGATTTAATAAGCATATATCAGGGTTTCTCAGCCTTGTCATTATTAACATTTTTGGTCAGATAGTTTATTGTTGTGTATATGGGAGCTGTCCTGGGCATTGTAGGGTTTAGCAGTATCCCTGCCCTTTACCCACCAGTGGTACCCCTTCTTCTCTAATTGTGATAGCAGACATGTCTGTAGGTATAGCCAAATTGTCATGTGGGGGCAAAATCTCAACATTTGAAAATCAGTATATACTGTACTTAAAAGGCGATAATAGGCCATGGAGTACCTCACTTGGGAAGTCTTTGGCATCCTTTAGGTGTCTGAGAATATGACAGCTGGGTGGTATATTGCTAATGGCAAAAAGAAGTAGAAGCTATATGACTGTGTTGGTTTCACATTTTAAAATTATTGTGCTTGCTTAGAATAAACTAACTTTTACACTTACCACCTGGTTCTATCCCAAACTGAAAAAACGATGCATTCTAAAACATATTTCACTGATAAAGTTTTATTTTGTGGGCTGACTTCAGAAGTTAGGTGGTGGTAGAAAAGGGAACCAAGATTACAACTTGAAGAGTAGCTGGTATTCAGAGCTTTTGCCATTTGTGAATATGTGGGGTAAAGGATATAATTAACCTCTTTTCTTTTCAAAGGGACATGAGAGATGGCTTTAGAAGAAAAAGCTTCCACGCTTCCCATTATGGGAGAGACCGGTCTCCTCATAAAAGAGAAAATCCGTTTTTAAGAGAATCACCTGTTGGCAGAAAGGATTCTCCACACAGCAGATCTGGCTCCAGTGTCAGTAGTAGAAGCTACTCTCCAGAAAGAAGCAAAACTTACTCTTTCCATCAGTCTCAACATAGAAGTATGTATTTTAAAAACTTCTCCTTTTTCTTTCACACTGATGAGAAAGTACTAAGACAGATTGCCTTTTAGGTGCTGTAAAAGGTATATTTTTTTAACATTTTCTTTTTTAAAATTTCAAACTTATATGGACAAGAATGGCATTCTGTGCAATAATGTCATCCTGACTGAGTTGCTTAGTGTGTGTGGGAATAAATAAATGAAATCTTCCTGTATTATATTTCTAGACTCTACTACTTGCTCATTCACAAAAAATTTACTCTTGCCTTCTATATTCAAGGCACTGTGTTAGATAGAAAGATGTCTCTGTCACCAAGGAACTAGAATATGTATATGTATTTTCCCCCAACTGATAACTTTATCAATTTGTAAATATAACATATGTAAAATATAACTGGTACAAGAATCGATATGCCATAAGTGAGCTAACGTAACATGGGCAGGTCAAGATAAGAGAGATTCTCGCTTTGGGGATGGGAGAACATGACATTTGGGCTTATCTTTCATTTCAGATTTCTGTAAGTGTAGAAGTATCTGCTAGGTATAAGGAATTATAAATTGAGAAATCAGAAAAGTCTAGGATATTTTTCCTTTTTAACTCCTTTTCTGTTATCTGTTTTTTTCAAATAATAACATTTTTAGTTTAACAATCTGTGCCTCCTGGGTGTTAAGATTGATGGGAGTTCACTTCAGGTTATCAGAATGTCTCCATTGGAGCTGTTGCTGGATTCCTGTATTTAAGAAACATTTATCAATTGTTTACTATTTTCAGAACTAGAAAGAGTGGGGCTTTCAAAAAAAATTTTTTTACTACGTGTATAAATGGTCATGCACTTACATATGTCTGAGTGCTTAAAATGTTTTTAGAATAGTTCCAGGTAACTGAAAGTTTTATTCTGGAGTTCAGTGTTAACAGTCTGATATTTCCTTCCTCTCTCCCACCACCCTTCTTTCCCTCAAGGAGAAAAACTATCTCAAAGTTGTGATGTGTGTGCTCATATGCACAGCCAGAAATATCCAAAATTAGCTAGATACCTTCTAGGAACATAGTTTTTTGTGTGTGTATATGACTTAAATCCAAATCTATTAATGATTTGATTAAGAGGAGAAAAGTATCTTGGGAAACTGATTATGAAACCTTTCAAACAAAACGTGAGTAAAATGGAGGCTTGACATTCTTACTTGACAGCTTATAAGAAAGCTGTTATCTATGATAGTTATTGGTGAATTAGCCTTATCTTTTTTATTTCACCTCTAAAACAGATCTCTAGGGAGGCATCTCTATCTGCTCTTGGCCTGGTTAGTTAGTGGCCAGAGCTCTAATATCTTGAGATGAAATGTGGAGGAGCCACCATCATGCTCTTGTCATAGGGTTTCCAATATACTTCTCTCATCCTTCAAGATCTAATGCCTTTAATATCTGGAGTGATGAGAGGATAACAAAGAATGGTGGGAGACTAAAGTATGCGATGGATTAAGTGAAATAGAGCATATGACTTTGTTAATACCATTATGTTTATTTTGTTAAGTCATTTAACGTTGAAAGTAAACTGTAATCAAGAAAAAAAGTTTGTTCTGGGGAAACTCTCTTTACAAAGTACTTTGGTTGATTCCTTAACTATTTGGGCTGATCTTTTTTTGTGTGTTAATCCTCACCCAAGGATGTTTTTCCCATTGATTTTTAGAGAGAGTGGAAGGGAGAGAGAGAAAGAGAAAGAGAAAAAACAGCAATGTGAGAGAGACACATCAATTGGCTGCCTCCTGCACGTGCCCCGACTGGGGCTGGGGATCAAACCTGCAACCCAGGTACATGGCCTTGACTTGGAATCAAGCCCACAACCCTTCCATGTGGGGTACGATGCTCTAACCAATGAGCATGTTGGCCATGGCTGGGCTGAACTATTAAATGTTTTCTATACTCCTTTCATGTAAATGGTTTTCAGAATAGTTGCATAAGATCATCTTGCAGAAAGTCTTGTTTTGGTCAGTAAATGGGAAGAGTAATTATTTACATATTTATGATACCAACTTTTGCTTTAAATCTAATTGTAACAAATATTGATAGCATCTTACTTTGCTTTTCTTTAAAAAAAAGGACTGATAAACAGGGTCTTTCAATGATCAGTCATTTAAACTGGGCTAATTAGCACTATTGGATTAGTTTAGTTTACTAATGTAAATGAAAATTTTGCCATAGATTTTATTTTTATTTTTAAATTACCTTAAATTCGATTTTTTTCCATATATTTTTATTGATTTCAGAGAGGTAAGGAGAGGGAGAGAGAGAGAGAGAGAGAGAGAAACATCAATGATGAAAATCCTTAATCGGCTGCGTCCTGCACACTCCCTACTTGAGATCTTGCCCGCAACCCGGGCATGTGCCCTTGACTGAAATCAAACCTGGGACCCTTCAGTCCCCAGGCTGCTGCTCTATCCATTGAGCTAAACCAGTTAGGGCTTGCCATAGATATAAAATGTTTGTATAAATAACAAGTAAAAATAATTTTGTTAATTTTACCATTTTGCTAATTCTCTAACTTTTACTTTTTATTCATACTTTTAGAGTAATTTAACTTATTTTAGTAATTACTATTAGTTTGGCCATGGTAACCATTTTTTTTAATCAAAAATTGTTATTCAATTACAGTTGACATTCAACATTATATTATTTTCAGGTGTACAGCACTGTGGTTAGAAATTTATATAACTTGTGAAGTAGACCACCTGCTATAATTCTAGTACCTACCTGGCACATGGTAACCATTTAAGGACTAATTATTCATAATTCTTCTGTGCATTTAATGTCTGTTATGTGCTTAATTATAAGCCACAGAATGATTTTCACTCCTTTTTCATCTCAACTAGTTATACATGTGCACACGAACACACACATACACACATGCATTTAATTATATTTCTCTTACTTGGCTTTTTGGGTTAAACCTATGGAACTTTGTTCTGCTTTAGACTGATTATTCTCCTAAATCAGTGTTTTTATCATGTGCTTTATGTATAAGATTTCTGCCTATAACTTAATTGGACTAATGTGGTCAAAGCTGTGACTACCGTGTTATTTTTAGTTCTTTTTTGTTATCCATATTTACATGCCACCAGTGTGGGTTGTCCTAGTTAACCTCATTTCCTTTTCCTTTGCTTATGAGACTGTTCTAGTTAAAATTGTTTTGTCACGTATACCTTGAATATTTTTTAAAATATGTTTTTATTAACTTTTTAGAGCGAGAGAGAAGAAGGGAGAGGGATGGAGAGATAGAAACATCAATGAGAGAGAAACATCATGCTCCCGCAGCTCCCCCCACTGGGGATCGAGCCTGCAACCTGGACATGTGCCCTGACCACCGGAATCTAACCATGACCTCTTGGTTCCTAGATTGATGCTCAACCACTGAGCCACACGGGTGGGGCTTGAATATTTTTACTTGAAGTTTATTTTTATTCTAATTAACCAAACATCTCCCCATTTGTCAGCTCTCTTGGATATTTACTTTCTTATTTGACTCCCCCTTTTCAAATGAATCCTATTGTTTTCCTAGCTCAACTATTATTTATCTTTTGTTTAGGATTGTGGCATTAGTAATGCACCAGAGATCACGAATATCCATTCTTTGTTAAAGTACATCCTGTGATGTTTAATGTATCACAATCTAGCCTTTCCATCTTTGTATAGCTCACTTTAATAAAACAATTAAAATATTTTCCTGTAACATGTACATAATGCTATTTATCTTAAACCCATAAAGATAATATATTCTTTTATATTATAACCATTTATGTATTTGAAGAGCCCCATCATAATCTTCTCAATTTTTGTTTTTCAGGTATAAATATATTTAGTTCTTTCAGCTGTTCCTTTTATTTGGCAGATTTTTGGACCTTTTGCTTTGCTAAATATTTTTCTGTTCCTTTCAAGTTGTGATGCCAGAAGTGCACTTTTATTTTGTCAACCACATTGCATTACTGACCCTTACTGAGACTGCAGACAATTGAAACCTAAACTACTTTTCTATATTTTATTCTTAAAATGCTCTTCAGCTGTACTTTTTCAGGTGCAATTGTTTACGTGTAGTTAATGCATTAAAAAAATCTAGTTATGCTAAATTTCATCTAATTAACTTTGGCTTATGATTCTCTTCCATAGAGGCTAAAAAATCTCATTTAGTGATCCTATATATTAGCAGCAGATAAATAACTTTGTTTTATCTGCAAATGAAGTATGCATTATGTGCTTTATATTAACCATTAATAATTTTGTTGAGTAGCGTAAGGCCTAATATTGAAACTTTAGAGACCTCTCTCTGTGGACTTCAGCCATTTATCTGCATCATTTGCTGTTATTCAACCGGTTGTGATCCCCATTCTTGTCTTTCTTCCACTTGTGGATTTAATAGAAGACTTGGTACTTTGTCGAAATTCAAGTTACAAAGCATTTCCTCTGTCAAAATAATGGCATAAAAATTGCCTTGCCTTTGTTTTTAAAAAAAAACATTAGGGGCTTTGTGGCTCCTGGGATGATTATGTCAGTGATTCTAAACTGCCTCTTTGTTAATTAATTCTAAACAGTTGCTATAGATTATAATGTCAACTTTACTAGTGATGCTCATATATGAATTAGGCAGTGTGACATTTTGGTTGAATTTTTAAAATATCATTATTCTGGAAGATTTGGAAGTTTATTGTTTTTGTTGATCTGTGTCTGTATTTCTTTCTTTTTAAATCTTTATTGCTGAAAGTATTACATATGTCCCCCTTTATCCCCATTGACCCCTTAGCCCGCCCCTGCCCCTGGCCTTTACCACACTATTGTCTGTGTCCATGGGTTATGCATATATGCATACAAGTTCTTTGGTTGAACATGTGTCTGTTTTTCTTTAATTCTGACTTTGGGCCCACCCTCCCCTTACTTTCTTTTTTAATCCTCACCTGATGATATGCTTATGGATTCCTTTAGAGAGTGAGAGAAAAACATCAATGTGAGAGAGAAAC